ATTTTATAGAAATAGACCTGCCTCTTCCCAGAGAGCAAAGAGCAGAGGGATTAAGGGAGGAGAGTGGCACAAAGAGAGGCTGGCCAGTGTTTGTGAGCACATACCCAGGTACCTTGGTCACATATGTTATGGACTTATTGTAAATTATCACTCAATATTTATTCACCTAGGATGCAAAGAGGGACAGGGCTCGTGGGACTTCAAAAGTTGTGCAGAGGAGGCAATTTTGGCAGGTTCCCTTTTTTTGCATGACCATAAAAGGTACACTTGTGGTATTTCTTTGTGTGGCAGAATTTTGGGGTTCAGTGGAGACCAGAGAATTTCTGTCTTTCCTATTATGTGCCTCAGAGCGGAGAGGCCAAGACATTAGCCTGGAAAGGCTTTGGTTCTATTCCAGGAGGCTTTGCAATGAATGGCTATTTTCCTGCATTGTAACTCTGATATCGGGCTTGGTGGAGCCTTGAGGAATGTTTTCATTGTTGGTGATAGGGTGTCCCATAAAGTCTAAACTTCCATAGATTAAGGTCATGCATGTCTCCTGTTATTCAGAGATGCTTGACCTGCCCCGATAATCAAGGTTGAGAATAGTTTCTGATGCTTTTAGGGGACAGGATCGGCATATTGTCACATGTATGGCATTCTTTATTGATACCCACCTTAGTTATGCATAGCAACAAAAATGAATAAAAGGTGGTAAAATTAATGGGTAGGGGCTGCCTTTCTGACCAGGCTGTTTGGGCCTTTCCGTTGGAAAACCCAGAGATCTCTGATATAGGTGTACACTGTCTTGTTATCTCCTCTGAGCAAAAGTTTCTTTCCTTTCTGCATTGTCTAGTTGAAGGACCAATAAAGTAGACTTTAGTGTAAGCTGCTGTCTGTGTCTCTTGCCCAGTGAGGCCGGACCCTCGCTGGTCCACACCTGGCCCAGATACCAAGGAATAAAGGGGCTTTCCCCCCCTGACACTTTGCAGATGCACATTAATTGTGACTTGTGTGAGTCACAAGCATGACTCAGCCCTGAGTAACAGAACATGGGATGCTCATAAGGGACAATGTTCCTATGAGGAGGTCTGTTGTATGTATTGCAACCACACTCCCACAATAAAATTAAGGATTCTCTTGGAAGTGACATCAAAATTAACCGCCCTGCATTAGGGCAGAAACCAGTATAACAAAATAATTCTTCCTACTTATTTAACAATTTCTTCCAAGAAAACATCAGCGGAAGAGACTCCACAGATGCCCCAGAGAGCTGGTTTCATTGCTGAATTATTCTGACAGTTATCTACACCTTTTTTCCCTTTCAAAAACAAATCCTATTTTCTATCTTCCTGCAACTGATTATCCCATGGTTCTTTCCCAAAAAGTGTAATGTCCCCTGTGTGTGTAACATATGTTAGAGTTTAAACCAGTAGGTTATTAACTACAGGGGATACGAAACAAATACAAAAATATTTCTGAGAGATTTTGAGGTAGATAGAAAGCAATAGACTAAAACTCAGTAAATGAACTGATATCTGTTTTTGCAAATCCACAGTAGACTCATTCACAGTGAAAGTAAGGGCCAAACTAGATGTGGTGTTTGCCATGAATTGGGCCAGACTTCCCTGACCTGACTTATCCAATGTTGCATCAAGGAATGAATATTTGGGGCCTGATTTGGCTTGGGGCTCCCCTCTACACCAGCTGCAGGTAGGGCATGTGAAGTCTCACAATGGGGCAAATAGGCCCCAAGGCAGAATAGGCCCCAGAGTGCTTGGCAATGTTAGTTTCCCATTATAACGTCTGTCTGTAAGTTGGTCAGGGAAACCAATCTAACTCATGGCAGACAATGCATCTGGTTTGGCCCCAAGATGCTAGCACTGGACACTGGCTTTCCAGATGTTGCTGAAAAGCCAGCTGCTGGGCATTGCAATGATAACTATGGAAAGGGAATGAAGTCTGTAGGACCCTTATCAAGATCAAACGAATGACTGATATCTGCAAAGCTGCAGAACTAGAATTCCCATCCCGGGGCCAGAGACCAAGGGCTAGTCCTTGCAGGTCCTTTTCTGCAGAAGATCCATTTGTGAACCACATTTATGGTACATATGAAGCCATTTTTACACCAAGACAGATCATCAGTCTACTCCATCATGGCTGCTCTCATGTCCTTAAGGGTAGTTTTAAGGATGTTTTCATATATGAAGCTTGAAGTGGAACCAATTTTACCTGTATTAGAAATGAAAATGTAAAACCTACTCAGTCCAAAATGTCCCTCTTCTGCTTTCTCTTACAAAAGAACAACTATCAGACATACATATTGGAAGAGAGGTTAAATGTAGGCCTTGCCCCCACAAGGAGAGAAGGCTACATGGTACAGCCTGATCTCGTCAAGTCTCGGAAAATAAGCAAGGTTAGTACTGGGAAAAGAGACCTCCAGGGACGACTTTGCAGAGGAAGGCAATGGCAAACCATCTCTGCTTCTTGCTTGCCTTGAAAGCCCCTTGCTGGTGTCACCATAAGTCAGCTGTGACCTGCGGACACTTCACACGCACACACGCACACTCCCCCAACAAACAAAGGAAAAAACTCTGTGCAACTTTAAACAAATTTTGGAACATCCAGTGTTTTAACTACCCCACTGCACAAACAGCTGGTATGTTCAAAACACTCTGTTCTATCATAAAGTAGTTTTGAAATAATGTCTCTAGTCAAGTGCTCTTAAGATTTATTAACTTTTCTTCCCTAGTGCACGGAGTGAGTGATTGTAAGCCTGAAACTGCCGGCAAATATTTTAGTATGCAGTTGGAATACTTTCTTTGTTATTATTATTTCAAACTATTGTAAATCACCCCTATCACTCAGTTTAGGACCTTGGAAAGGTCGTCTCGCTTTTTCTGTCTTAAAAATAATGTCACAGTTTCTAATTTAATGCACCATTAAAAATACAATTTGAAAAATATACTTGCATATTTCAGAGTGGTGTTGGTTTTGTTTGTTTTTTTGCCAGTAAAGCAATAGATATACATGGGATACAAGATTTGCAAACATCCAAGTGGAGGGAGAGGACTTTCAACAATCGTAAGTAATATCTAGAGTAATGATGTGCTAAACGGCAAGTAAACACTTAAGAATTAACACTCACACTATTGCATCAGCTGAGATCCTTTTGCACCACTGCAGCTTCACTGTAACTTGGAAAATGTGGGTTTACATTTTTCCACCTCAGTTTGCTCTCTTCCCCTTGAAATGAGCTGATTCAGCCAGTGCAGAGGAGCAGGGGAAAGTACTTGCCTGCTGTTAACTGAGCGGCAGTCTGCGGAGGAGGAATCCATGTCCTTACTAGAGGGTGTCGGAGGCAGTGAAAAGCTGGGTCTGTGCTCTGCTGGTAAGCAGTTGCTGGCTAACCAGCAATGCCCTGCTGTACCTCTGCTGGGACCACAGCGTTGTGGGCTGGCCAGGGAGCCCCATGGGGATGATGGCCCAGCCTCCCTTGCCTTCTAGTGCTGCCTCTCCCCATCTCCTGTGCACTGGTCAAGTACTGCTTCTTAGCTCACCTGACCAGTCTCCCCAGTGGATGGCACCTGATGTTCTAGTTTAGGCTGTCATCTGATGCCTACTCATTTGGCAGCGTCCTGCCTATAGAATGGCGAGCAGCTTAGAGTAATTGTGCATCCAATCAGGATGCCTGGAAAGTAAACAGAGCACTGCAGGGGGTGTCTATTGTTCCTAAAGGAATAGATCCCACTCATATCATATGCAAAATTTTTACCTTTATTTAAAGTGGGAGGTTCTTGTGTTAAATCCATGAAAAATGCCTATGGAATGTGTCCGGGAAAGTCCTGTTCGTTGGCTGCATTTATCTGTGGCTTCTTGTGATAGCAAACAGTTCTTTTGGAGTTTGGGGCCCCAAATATCCCAATAGAGACTTTCTTGAATGGAAAAACTGCTGCCTGACAAGTAAAATGAAGGAAAAACAGGACTGCTGACTTTGTCCCCACCACAGTTTCCCTACTCCAAATCCCGCCCCCCATCAGTTCCCCCCCAGCTTTGAGGGACTCTGTAGCTGCTTGAGCCTGGAAGTGGCTTTCTCAGTCTTAAAAGGGCCATTGGAGAAATATTATATGCATTGCTCTCTCTAAGTATTTGAAGGGCTGTCACATACAGGAGGGCAGGGAGCTGTTCCTGTTGGCAGCAGAGGACAGGACTCGCAAGGATGGGTTTAAATTAAGGGCAGGAAGGTACCGGCTGGACATTAAAAGAAAAACTTTTTGACAGTAAGAGTTGTGCAACAGTGGAATCAACTGCCTAGGGAGTTGGTGAGCTTCCCCTCACTGGCAGTCTCTAAGCAGCAGCTGGCTGGACAAACACTTGTCAGGGATGCTCTAGGCTGATCCTGCATTGAGAAGGGGGTTGGACCAGATGGCCTGTATGGCCCCTTCCAACTCTGTGATTCTGTGATCTGTTTGTTTTGTTACTTATACTCCACTTTCCTCCCCAGTGGGGACCCAAAGCAGCTTTCATTCTCCCCTCCTTTTTTCCTAGTCACAACAACCCTGTGAGGTAGGTTAAGCTGAGAGTCTGTGATGGCCCACAGTCACCCCGTAAGTTTTCATGGCAGAGAGGATTCAGACCTGGGTTTCCCAGGGCCTAGTCTGCACTCTAACCACTGCACTACAATGGCTCTCATTTGTGTCTTAAAAATAATGTTTTTACATTTGGCCCTGATATCCTAATCTGTCATCTGCAATCATTCTGTATTGTCAGCAATGGAGGGGGGGGGAGAAAGAGAGCAAGCGAGCGAGAGAGAAATGAAACTCCTTTTTACATTTCTAGGACAGAGTGAATAGCTTATCCTAGACATTGCATCACATTCTTGCACAGGTGAATGCAAACAGTGAACCTGGCACTAATCCCAAAGCAGAAGCACTAGCTGAGAATTCTTCCACCAATTCCATTCAGTGTACCCATTAAAGGCCTGGGGGTGAGGGACCATAGCAAACACTTGTGAGACTTACCTTTCACACCCAGTCTTCTCCTGCGGTTCCACCCCCCCTTCAGTTCTTGAGTCCAGCTACAGCTGCAGCAGCATCTGGATAGAGGAACTGCAGAGTCTTCCTGATGTGTGGAACTGAGTGGGGAAGTCCTTAGTCACCCTCAGACATTTATGAGCTGGAGAAGAGAGGCAGGAAAGGAAGGGGGAGGGAGGAAGTTTGAGGATTTTGGAAAGCTGTACCCATTCCTGGCAAGAGTCTTGGGGAAAATCCCTGCCCTGGTGTTTTGTTGGGTGAGGTTTGGTTGTAGTTGCTTTCTCTTTATTTACACTGTTGAGTTGCAGCCTGCTGTATGCTTGCAAGTTGCTCTGGTCCTGGTTGTTTTCCTGGCTGAGTTTTGTGCCTCAAAGTTCTTCATCTGCTTTAGAGATAAGAGCAGTGAAGAAACTGTGGCAACAGGAGTGGCAGGAACAGCCCCCACCTGTGGTGTAGATGGGAGGTGATTACTCTGGAGGAGCACCAATGTTTTTGGCTGACTGCACTGAGTGACTCCCGCTGTTGTTCCACTCACTGCACTTCTAACAAGCAGGGAGAATGCTCATCAGGGCCAGATTCCCATAGAAGGAGAAAGTATTACAATGCAGAAGGTATTTATTTTATGTACAAAAAGAGGGACACAGGCATTCTTACAGGGCAACATATCCCAACCACACAATCTGGGGGTGGGGGGGGGAGAGATCCCACCAAGTGCTCCATCTCACCCCTCTGCTATGGCTGTCTGCTTCTCTCTCTGCATGTCCGATTTCTCACTTGGCACTTACCCCTGGTTTTCGTCGGAGTTTTCTGCCCCGGATCATTTTTGTCAATTTCACATGTCTCCTTTCCCAGTCTTGCACACTGTCCTGCCTGTAATTTGACCCTAAAAGCATCTCTGAAGGGCTGCAACAATCTAGATTAAGGCCAAGAAAGATGGGGTTAGGTCAATTAGAAATAACCCCTAAGACAAGGTAACAGCCTTTTCTCCCCATTGATGTTTAAAGCAGCTGTGGTGTGTGTGTGTGTGTGTGTGTGTGTGTGTGTGTCGAATTCTGGAAACAGCACAAGGTAATGTGATTACCTCTCCTTCCTAGTCCCATGGCCTGGATGGCCCTGGCCATTTTCTTTGGCCAGATTTACACATCTGGGGTTCCAGTTGCAGAATTCTGGCTTCCTGTGTATTTTGGCCCTGTTTTGGTCCATTAACTCATACAGATGGCGAATTATTTAGGGCATGGATATAAGCTTCCATCAAAGTCCCTTTCCTAAAATATTATTACAATCACAGTTGAAAGGGAACAGATCTGATCTGAGAATCTTTGGTGGGAATAAGAAGGCTTTTCTGCCCCCTTTGTGCTAACAAGAAACACACACCTGAGGATGTGCATTCTAGTACAAGGGAAGGGAAGCACACATATTCCTCGAGGGAAAGGGAGAGCATAACAAATAACTTCTTGACTGTTATTGTCGTTGTCAGTTTCATACTCCACACACCCCTGCCTTGCATTTTTATCAGCAATTATGTACATGCAGATAATTTATTTAACAATTATCTTCTCAAGCATTTGCCTTTCATGAAGTAGACAAATTTTGTGTTATTTATCAAGGAAGGATTTTTAGTTGATTAATTAATAAATGACTTCTTTGCACATGTTCAAAACATCAATATAAGTGACTTCCTGAGATATTAGAAATAAGTGTAATACAATTTACTGTTTAATAAACAAAGTTACCTGAGAGCTAAAAGGAAAAAAATCATCATTAATATTCTGTTTTTTAAACTCCCTGTGACAGTGATTCACTGCATGCAGAACAGCCTCAAAGGAAAAGTGGGTGCTTACCGTGTAACCCCACTGCTAACATTTGTCTTCTCTGATTAAAATTAGGCCCCTCTGATTAATCATCAGAAGCTTTTTAGTTGATTTACATAGTGATTAAAGCTTGCCATGCAAAAGGAAAATAACCTCTCAAAGATATAAAGAATTGTTTCTATGAAGAAATTGGCCTCTAAATTTAGGGGTTTTTTGTTTTTGTTTTTGCCTGGGCCAAATATTGATTCTTTAGATTTTAGGGACTAGATTTCAGCATACTTTTGTTCACTTTGAGAGCGCCAGTCATTTCTGGTTTGATTCTGCTTTACTTCTGAAAACATTTTCCAGTGTCGTGTGATCATCCATTGGAAAGCTTATGCAAATACGTTGACGTTTAAGAGGATGAAACCTTACTGGTGTGAATCTCACCTCTGCCAGGGCTACTTTTGTATCAAGAGGGTCAGGGAACCTGCTTTGCCTGCAGAAAGTCCCAGGTTTTATCTCTGCCAGCTCCCGCAAAAGGATCTTGGGTAGCAGATGCTGAGAAAGATCACTCTGTGTATGAGATCCTGGAAAGCAATTGCAAAGGAAGAAATACTACTGAGTTAGTATATGGAAGGTTTTTGTGAAGCTCCTAGATATTTAGAGGCAAGACCTGCAAGGACTGGTAGGGGGCATCTCATTTCCTCTCCTCCACAATTTCATCCTTTTCCATCCTGGAAAGTTTCCACAGCCTCTCCTCTTTTCCTTCCTTCTCTCCATTCCCACCCCACCAGCCAACATACTTCTATCTGCCCCATCTACAATTATCTGTTCTCCATCTCCAGTTTCCCTTTCTCCCTCCCTCTGGAATCCTTGGCCTAGGACAACTATGGCCTATATGCACAGTGCTGGCCACCAGGGAACACACAAGGACTTGCATGGTGGGGAATCCACAAGGACTTTCAAGGAGCACCCCTGTATCCCCCTCTCCACACTATTTCCTCTTTCTCTCCTCCTGGCAGCCCCCATATCCTCTCCCCTTTCCCTGCCTCCTTCAGTTCTTTCCACTCCCTAACCAACCTATCTTTTATCTGAGCCCCATCTTCAGCTATATTTATTATTTATTTACTTCAGTTATACCCCACGTTCTCTACCATGGGGACCCAAAGCAGCTTCCATGGTTCACCTCTCCTCCATTTATCTTCACAACAAGCTTGATTTGTCTCCCTTCTGGTTTGTGGATCAGCGATGGTGGTTGCTCTCCCCGGACCTCGGGGGAGCGACTCGCACACCAGCAGTATGGGGGGGGGTGCTACCTCAAGTAGCACTCACACAGAGCCTTTGCGAAAGGCTCCAGGCCATAGGGCTTTTGAGGGGCAGCCTCTTCGACGGCTAAATGCTGGAGAATTGAGGCTTCCCTCCACCCTGACGGTCCTGTCGCTGTGTGGCCGTCGGGCACAAGCTGTTTCGACCGGGACAAGCACTGGAGATTGAGCGGAACATCATTTACTGTGAGTGAGGTCAGAGAAATGATTGACAATGAACGTGAGTTCAAAATAAATGGAACATTTTAAAAGTGAACTCCCCCCCCGTGGGAAAAGCGGAGCGCAAAGAGGGACGCCTCTTATGCGAACTGACAGATAAGCGTGAAGGGGGCAGGGGGGGAATAAACAGCGAGGGAAAACCATAGAGTTTTTCCTCGGATGGTCGTGGCCCCGTCCCCAGCATGCCCGGCATCGTCACATCACTTCCTGGTGACGTGCACGTGGGGGTGGGGTTCCCCCCGGGGCCCGATCTACCAGTGGCGGAGAATGGGCCTCTGGGGCGGGGGTTTCCCCGCCCCCCCGGGGGGGACTTGGCAAGCTTACTTACAATACCTTGCTGTGGAAGAAGGAGGAAGGATGAGAAGGTGGGAAGAGCTGTTGAGGAACAGGGAGCTATGTAGCAGGCAGCACAGAGGTGAAAGCTGGAGAAGGAACTATGGCACATCAACTTGCACAGTATATTGAATGAGATGAAATGAGTGAGAAAGGAATAAAGTGAGGAGCTGCAGTAGAGTTTCAGGAAAGACGGCCTCCTGGAAAAGGGTGAAGACTGTGTTGGGAAACAAAGATCACCTTAACAAAAGCATTGCAAGACACAAAATATTGCAGAAGACTGTTGAAGGAGAAGCTGCTAGATGCCAAAGAGAATGAACCAGGGGTTTGTCAAGTAAATTGGGTGACTTTGAATATCCATATAAAAGCATTGTTGAAAAAAATGAGAGTTTTTGTAGGTGCATAAAATGTTGCTCAAGGCAACCCTGAACATCCTTTTTTAGGATGTTCATGACTCTTTGTGGCATTCCCTTTCTCTGCAGCTCCTTGAATGACACTGTTTCTTCTTTCCCTTCTTTATGAGGATTCTAACCACTTGGTGCTTAAGCTGTGAATATGGTGACATTCAAGTGCCACATGGCCAATCAGATTCTGCTTTGTAGCATTTCCACTGAGGTCAAATGAATCTGGATTGCCTTCATTGTGTCTCTTGTGAAGATGAACAGAAGTATGGTACTATTTGTAATATCTCCCTTCTGATACATTAAAACGAGCCATTAAAGATTCATGCCAATTATGAGGCAATGAATAGGCTGAGGCTGGGTTGGAAGTCAATTCCCTTTGGTGGTATTCATATCTTTCAGCTATCATCATTTACTACCCAGATCTTCTTTCAAGTTTCCACAGATACAATTTAGGGAAGGCAGAAGGGGGCTGTTATATTTCCAGCCATATATGATTATTCCAGGTGAATTCTTTGATGTCTAACCAGCTTGCTGATTTTGCAATGAGTGATTGTTCCAAACAATAGATGGGCCTGTGTACAGGGTAAAATGCCAGAAGTATAAATACTTTTGCTTCTAAAAGCAATTTCCTTTAAAAACAAATATTTTATTAGAAACTTTTCAGATAAGACAAATACAATAACAGACTTCAACACAATGCCAAACTAAGATCATTAAAATGAGAGTGTATCTCAAAGTCATGCATATCAATCAATTATTAATATTACATTAAAGTTTTACTAAACAAATCATATAAAATACAAGACTAAGCCTATAACCATTATCCAAATCGGAAGGAAGGGGGGAAAAGCTTTAAAGTCCTTGATAATTCCAATTAACTAGTGACAGTATTTGCCCCCCCCCAATCCACCTTTGAAGAAGATCTAACAATATCAGGACTTTTCATTAACATAGAACATAAACCATTTCCCAGTGAATTCCTCAGACTGTGAGTAACCTTTCAGGCACTGTAAATGGA